CACACTCATCACTGTTTTTTCCCCATCGTGTCATTCAACTCAGTATTATCAGTCTCATTATGATGATTTCCTCCCTCCTATTCCTTTCTCTATAGCTCTTTGTGACAACTGATTTTTGTATTTTGTACAATCCCCTTCCTTTCTGATCATCATCACACCTTTTCTGCCATATTTCTGTTCCCTTCTTTTTAATCACTGCTTTTCCTTTTTCTTTCCCAAGAGGGATTGGGACAGCAATTAAAAAAATTGCCCAGCAATTTCTTTTTCCAGTGCCCCTTTTGCTAGTTTGTGTCAACACACTCATTTCCGTTCACTCCCTCGTGTGCAGGAACCTGACAAAACTGTATTACACCTCTGTGAAGTCTTTGCAACATGTGATGAAGTTCTCTGACTAACTCTTCTCTGTTTGTGTTTAATGACTGTAGAGAGTCTGTGCATACCACCACCCTATCTGGCCTTACCTCCTCCACCTGCTGTAGACTCATAATCACTGCCACTATTTCTGCAGTATATACTGATAGTTGATCTGGTAATCTTTTGGAGATAATATATTTCAAATTCAGTATGTACACACCTATTCCCACACATCCATGCTCATTCTTTGATCCATCTGTGTACATTTTGAGGTAATTGAAATAAATGTTCGTCAGGTAAGCAATTGTTTTAACGCCCACTTTGTTCATTCTCCATTCTCTTTTCATTTGTATGGCACTCATGTCTATCTTTGGCTCAGTGTACAGCCATGGAGGTAAAACTACCGTCAGTCTTGGTCTCTGGGGAGGTAGTGGAGGTAAAACCATAGACTGGGAAAACTGGAGGTAAATACCAATATTTACAGTTTATGTTAAAACCGTAAGAGTGAGCAGACAGTTTGCGTCCACAGAGTTGCAGCACTGACGTCTGGTGGCCAAAGGTTAATACTGCATTGAATTCTCTTGTTGGGTAATGGTCACTTCATAAACTCTTCTGATTTCTGTAGATAAACAATCCAGTTGAAGACTCCAAGTTACCAGAAACGACTATCATAAATACTTTTGTTATAAAAGCGCGTGCATAACAATATTCTGAACTTTTTTTCTAATCTAAATTGAATTCTAGAAATGAACAAACAATCAGACATATCAGTCAACAAAAAAGATATAGGTACAAGGGAAATTGTCAAAATACTACCACTACTATACTACTGCTACTACTACTACTTATAATAACAATAATAATAATATTAATAATAGTTCCACAGACACACGGACAGACTAATTTAGAAAAAAAATCTGAAAAAATTGAATTTATTGGTATGGATGTTTGTTTACTAACACAAGAGACTCAAAATAACATTTTAATCCAAACTTAAAAGAGGACGTTGACCTAAGAACTTCTGCCTAATGAATATGAAATGATGCCAATACAATAAAGAGTATGAAATGAGTGTGCAGTTTTTTTTTATCTTTACATGTAAAATAAGTGAAAACATTTTTATCTTTAATGTTAAAACCATAGACTGTATAGAACATGCATGTAGTCTCAGTGAGGTCAATCATTGTTTTACTGACGAGGAACGTTAAATCCTAATGATATCTAACGTTTGATCAATTTAGAAACTAGTAAAGAGGGAGCTTAGAGGTAGAGTGGCACAGGCGGCCTCCATTGGTCACTAGCTGTCTTAAAGTCTTTTCAAACAAACCAGCACCCCACAAGGTTTCTGGTTGTTTCCTCAACAGTAACTCACAGTTTTTGTTGGTTGTAAGGTTAACTTGTGGGTGATTTTGACATCATAAGGAAGAAAAGCTGTTAAAATCTGCGCTGCCATCCAGGTTTGTGTCGTTGGGTATCCCAGCAGCGACATGGACAGTTGCATTACGACGCCTACTACAACTTAGCCACGCCTCTAATTATGCCACTTCATGAATAATTTTCATAAAGTTATTCAAAATTTACCCCAAGTAGAATTTTAACCAATGCCTAAGTGACACCACCCATTATTTACTGCAGGGGGTTTGGAGGACAGTCGATGGCGGTCGCTATGCTGGAAATGCTGTCTCAACCTAACTTTCACTCAACCTAATGACATGCTAAGAAGTGGAACTGAGGCGGGTTCAAGTCCTCCTGACAAACAGCCTCACCGCTAGAGTTCATCCCCTATACAGCGTGGGCCAATCGAGACATGCGCTAATCAGACCTATTTAGATTTTTTGAAGCAGGCTGTAAACATGTTCATTTCTGCTGTAAAAACAGGCTTTTTAGAATGGGTGTGTATGTGACTTCTGGACTCCTGGTGCCAGCCTCTAGTGGACACTGGACAAACTGCAGAACTGAATTTGAACTTTCGCACTGGCTTCATTTTTGAACATCGAATGTAGCCACTCGGTTTAGGCAGCCAGCCTCAAGCAATTGATGAAATGCAGTCTTCAACTTGTATCAGTAATATTCTGATAATGTAACTCTTCTGGATACCTAAAACAAAAGTGAATGGAGGACTTGCCGGAAAAAATGCTGTTTCACTGTGATGATTTTTAAGGATCAGGTGAATTTTTACTCCATTTTCTAAAAAGCCTTGTGGTATAGAAAATGGTTGTATGGACGTTATTAATCCAATATGCCTTTCTCAGGAAAGAAAGCAAGCAGGAAGCTCCAGGAATTAGAAATAAAGCTAATAATAATGCACTCAGAACTGCAGGTCCTCAAGTAGCTCCTTCAGGTGTATCACCCAGGAAACAGATAAAGATGAGGAGAGAGTACTATCAATGAGGATACAATTACATAATGACTGTTGATTCTGATTCTGATTGATGTGATTCTCACATTAAAGATGCTTGGGCAGAGCTTTGCAGAGCCCTGGATCGGAACAAATGCAACACGATAAGATCGATGGCCAGATCCAAAGTAACCTGTATGCTTCAGTTTTTGGTTCTTGTTTTTGTTGTTGTTCACATGTGCATATCCTCTCCTAAAATCAATGACATTTCTCATTTTCAATAGTTGACATGTTGTCTTTTAATAAAATATGAGGGTTTAATGTTTCTCAAATCATCACATTTAACAGTTCTAGTAGGGAGAATATGACTACACATGTTCATGCTGTTTTATACTGGAACACAATGAGAGCTTCATTTTCTGAATTTTTACCGGTTTAAAAATTCATCATCCCTATCAGACAAAATTCATATGAAATCTTTGGAGAATCGTTGGGATTGTTGTTTGACCTGTAAGTAGCACTATCAGCAAATGTACCACTTACTGTATTGTGACCTGTGACAATATTTTGAAGAGAGCCCTGATGGTCTTATCAGCCCACTAACATTTACTCTACAGTGTGTTTGCATAGAGGTCAACTGTCCCATGCTGGGTCAAGTGCAAAAACACAGAACGGAATTACTGCAACACTGATTTGTCCTGCTTTCTTTTCTCTCTCAAACCATAGCTAACACACATACCATAATTTCACTCAATGTTTGTGTAATCTTTGTTTTCTCCTTTACCGTAAGAAGTGGAGAGGTGGAGGGGGATTAAGGAAACTTCACAGGACCTTGTTGATGTTTACTCATAACTGATAAATAAAACACACATGATAATATTTATAATTATATGAATATGTCTGAAACAAAGAAAAGAAAAAGAAATATCCACTCTAACGGTGCACTATGGAGTTATTAGAGAAATGTGAAAGTTAAATAAGTGTACATATTCAGAGTTATGTTCATAACTCTATACACAATCTGTCCTCAGAGGGAAATGTGGTCCCTGTATCACTGTTTGAAGATAAAATGCAATGCTAGAAGTTATGGTGGGGGGTCCGCAACTTTGAGTAAAGTTTGTGTATTCAGTTTAGAAAATATAGCATAGAATTTTTTCACTACTCCAACTTTCAAATGTCACCACCAAAACTCCTTTAACATCATTTAAGACAAAATGAAAATTCCAGAAATATGAACACCATTAAATCACTCTAGAATACAAAATATAGAGTTTTAAGGATTTAAAGCTAATGTCACTGAGAGTCTCGTCATTTAATATTATATGTGACAACTTGTGAATAACCTTTTGGTCAGTTATTTCATTGTTTAGCCACCTCATGCATCATTTAAGAAAGACACAGTAAATCTAAGCACTTTGTATCACATTGTATTTTATTGATCAAGTACTTAGACAATTTTTTGATACCACGTGTTTTAAAACGTTAAGATCTCTTTGATTTGAATGATCAGTGTCAAGACGTACCAAACCTTTAAAAAACAACATCTGCGGGGCGCTGGTGGCGCAGTGGTTAGTGCGCGTGCCCCATGTATGGAGGCTGTGGTCCTCAAAGCAGGCGGCTAAGGTTCAAATCCAACCTGTGGCCCCTTTCCCACGTGTCATTCCCCCCTCGCTCTCTCCCTGATTTCTGACTCTATCCACTGTCCTATCTCTCCAATAAAGGCACAAAAAGACCAAAATAAATCTTTAAAAAAAAACAACAACATCTGCTTCATCATAGGAGACGAATGAATCCATCAACAATTTCCACACAACTCTACTGGAAACGTTTTTGTGCAATTAAGACAGTGTACAGGAGTTTGCCTGTAAATGTTGATAATTGAAACAGAAAATGACCCAATATTGGGCGCCCTGGACTTCTATTAGTAATACTGTGGTATCAAAACAGGTCTAGATATCATTTGATTTGATGTGCAGCCTGCTCTCTAGTGGATTATATGTGTACTGCATGTGTAGGGTTGTATTCATCAGGATTTAACCTTACAACAAACAATTCAGATTTTTTTTTTTTTGTTGTTGTTGTTAGTTTAATCTAACCATTTTAAAAGTGTGTATGATGATTCATGAGTCATTGAGCTTTGAAACTTGCCTGATCAAGCTGGTTAAGAGGGTTTATTTCTGTTAGCCTCAAACGCTGTATTAACTTGATATTTATAAATGATTGACATATGAAAAACAAATAGAGGAGGTAAACAAATAGAGCAGGGCAT